GCGGGGGAAAAACAGTCTTTCCAAGTTGATTTTGATTAAAAGATTAATAAATTTACTGAATTGTACGTATTTACATACTTTCTCTATTGTTGGAGTGCAAAAATGTGGAAAATTACTTTCTATTTTTTGGACAGTTAGATTGTACAGAAAAGACTCAACTTATCAATGAATAAATTAACCAATTTATGGAAAACATCTCAATTATAAGAATTAGTAGCGCAGCCTGAGACGTTTGATAAAATTCATGTTTTAAAAAAATATACAATACAATACATCCTGATCTATATAGCGCTTTCACAACAGCTGCAGCATATTGTAGTTAACCAATTATTTAAAATGCTCATTTTAGTTAAAGCATTCGCAATTGATTATTGAATGACAAAATAATTAAAATAACAATGAGTAAATACTGATGTTGGGTTGAATCCCTGGAACTTCTGAATCGTCGCTTTTTGGGCAACCCCAGTGCAGCATGTTCAACCCTTAACATTGCATCGTCACAGAGAGCAAGTCCTTTTCAACGCTTTATTAAGATTAAGATATCCTTTATTTGTCCCACACTGGGGAAATTACAGTCTACAGCAGCAAGATTGTGGGTAGAAAGAAGACGAAAAGAAACTCAAACAGGGATATGCGCTTGGTTACCTTAATTTCTGGACCATAAGCCGCTACTTTTGTCACACTTTCAATCCTGCGGCTTATTGAATGAAGCGGCCTGTTTAAAGATTTTTCCGACGGCCGCCAGGAAGCAGTTATTTGCCATTAAAAAGAGAGTGATGGCTTGCTCATCACTGTCTTATAACAAACAGATTTGGATTTGCATTCATCAGTCACTCAGTTCAGTAAAAACAAGACCTTTTGGTAATCAAATCAAAGCATAACAACCATTAACCACGTTGTCACCACAAGACGGACTTGCAGCTCTTTTCTGGTAGGACAGGCTTGACAGTAATTGAAGACAAAATATGTTCATTGGTTTAGTGAGGCACTCAAATGCAGAAGTTAGATGAGGATGTGTTGGCCAAACTGCACAGGTGTTGAGACTCCATACTGCGATGGCAGAAGACTACATGTTGCAGTAAAGCAGGCCTGCAATTGCAGCACTTGATGGCTGTGAAGTGCTGTCATTAACCCTGCTGAGATTATTACTACTCAGTCTCAGAGCTCGTCGTCGTCGTCATCATCACTTGTGAGGATGAAGAGGTTGCTCTGTCACTGAAACACTGTTAGCTAGCTAGCTAGCTAATTGTAGCAAGTCTTACTCAACAGGGATACAGTAATCCTACTTCATGGTCGTTTTGTATTTACTGCACTGTTGAATGATTGTATTGTTTTCGTGTGCATTGTGCCAATTCCCCCAAAACACTCACACTCACCCCTGCAATAAGTGAACCACAATAGTGTGGGATTTGTGCATGTCTTTTTCTTTTTTTTTTTTGGTGACAAAGCTAGAATTTGAATTGTTTTCGTCAATGGTTATCCTGACACGGCAGTGTGTTGTTCAGTGGCAAACGACATGCTGTATCCATAATTTAATTTTTAAATGGTTAGTTTTGTTTTATATTAGTGGAAGTTGGAGGATAAGGTGTAGTATCGGTTGTCTTGGTTGACCATTCTCCTGCATTCTTCAGGTACAACTCCAAGAGGAGACACTGGAGGAGGACTAAGCTGGGTCTGTAAACATGACGTTCTGCAGAATCCATTCTCCTCCATTCTATCAAAGGACCTCCAGCTACCAGGAAGGAGAGGCTCAATGTGGTAGAGCCACAGTTGTTTTGTACACAGTCTGGTTCTACGTTCATGTTTGAAAATAAAAGATCTGTGATCAAACAAATACTTGATGTACACATAATTTGTTTTCATTTTGGTTTATTCAGCACAGAATGAATGGCACTTGGCAATTATAGTCAAGAGCAAAATGAGATATTTCTTACTTTTTAATAAATCTTTCATCGGGAGGAGTAAAGAAAAACAAAATGAAAAGCAGTCATGTTTTTTTTTTCCAATCTACCCACACCACAAATGCTTGTATTTGTAGCTCATGTTTGCTTGTCTCTGCCAAATATAACCCTGGCATTCAAGATGGAAAAATAACGTAGGCTACCGAGAGTGCTGTTTGCATGTCAAATATTGTAATTGGAACAACCCAAGGTCCAAAGCACTTTCAAGGGAATGAAAGCACAGTATTGACAGAAAATGTCAGCGTCTACTGGTGCGAAATGAAAAGAACCTTCTCATGGAACCAAACCTCCAATTGCCTCCTCTCCTGCTGCTGTCAAACGAGTCCACCTCATCTGTCAAAGCCTCCACGTCCTCCCCGGGCGTGACTGTTACGTAGCCTCCGCTGTTGTTACAGTTCTTATTGGCGTTGGGTTCCGCCCTGCGGGCGTGCTCGTCGTCCCACGTCCCAAGCAGCTCCTTCATCTCCCGGGGGGCGTCCGGCGCCAAATACTGCCAAGCGCGTCTGCCCCCGTAGTCCATGACATCCACGTCGGCACCGAACGCGCCCACGAGGAGCTTGACAACCGCGTAATGGCCGTGCATGCTGGCGACGTGCAGCGGAGTGAGGCCACCGCTCCCCCGCACATCTACGCTCACTGGCTGTCCTCCGGCTTTTTTCGGTCTCGGGGGC